TAGTTAGTCAGTGTCTCTAAATGTATAATTTTTTAATAGAATGATTGCTCCATAGCCCAGCATTTTTTTTTTTTTTTTGAAACGGAGTTTCGCTCTTGTTACCCAGGCTGGAATGCAATGGCGCAATCTTGGCTCACCACAACCTCCGCCTCCTGGGTTCAGGCAATTCTCCTGCCTCAGCCTCCCGAGTAGCTCGGATTACAGGCACGTGCCACCACACCCAGCTAATTTTTTGTATTTTTAGTAGAGATGGGGTTTCACCATGTTGACCAGGATGGTCTCGATCTCTTGACCTCATGATCCACCCACCTCCACCTCCCAAAGTGCTGGGATTACAGGCGTGAGCCACTGTGCCCAGCCAGCCCAGCATTTTAAGTTTGATATTTTGTGCTCCATGAGTCAAAGCTTGGGTGAGGAATCTCAAAAGGGCATAACCAAAATGGGAAGATTTTGTGTCCAGAGAAGGCCTTGCATATCTGTTATTTTATAAACAGAGACCATGAGGTCTGGATAAGTTTAATATTCTGTCAGTGACAGAGCAGAAACTAGAATCATGATGTGCTGATGGCAAACAATGAATTTTCTCTTCCTAAACTACAAAGTCAAGCAAAAACCTCTTTTTACTTTATTTCATTTTGTTTCAAATAGCCGTGGTCAACCATTCATATCCCAGAAAGTCTAGAAAAGATGTGAAAAAATAATGAGTTTTTACTTATAGGCAGATGGACCTGTAGAGTTTGAAAGAGGTCAGGAGCAGGAGCCACATGGAGCAGGAGGTGGGTCAGGCATTTGTCTTACCTGCCTCTCCTGTGCCTGCCCTTGTGGAAGTCAGCTGAGTACCCCCATGGGGGATCTGTCTTTGTTCTGACGCATCCCATAATCGGGAAGGAAAATGCTCAAGAATTCTTGGGTTTCTTTTTTTAGGTATAGTGTTTTGTTTTATTTAAACAAAATAATGTGTTTCTTTAAGTGCTTGTTTTAGAGGTGAGCTTGGCACTTCACTTGCACCTGTGGCATTTGAGGCACAGCTGAGTTAATATATCCTTATCAGCAGGCAGCACTGCACTGGTATGTTATCAGAAAAGACAGCTATTAGTGGTAACATGCAGGATCCAGCCAGGCACTTCCTCAACTGGCTGGGGAGAACTTCTGCAGCTCCGGTGATGTCTCACTTCGTATTTACAGTCCAAGGCCCTCCGTGGCTTGGGAGCACTCCATTGCTGCCTATCAGCCTGCCCAGCTGAGCATCAGCAGCCTTGCGTTTGCTGAGAACCCGACTTTCTTTCCCTTTATCTGTTTTCTTTAACTTTTTTTTTTCTAAACGTCTATTTTATTGCAACACCAGCCCAGCAGTGCAGGCGTTGCTTGAGGAAAGGTGCAGCATGGATTAGGCTGACTTGCTCCATGAGCTCTTGGGAGAGGAGGGCACGCAGGACTCTGCTCACTGGTAGCATGTGTCTTCACCTGGGTTTCAGCAGCAACTGACATTTTGGCTTTAGAATGTTAACATTTGTGTGGTCTCCTCTCTGTCAGTGGACAGCATATTTTTTGCCCTGTTCCTTGGTCTCTTAGTACACAAAAGCAGGTCTAGAAACTGGATAAACCCTCAGTTGGAACTGTTTTTTAACTCTGCAAGAAAGCCACCAGGGCCTGCCCTGTCCTTCCAGCCTTCTGTCTTTACACCTCAGTCTGTACCAGTGTTTTTCAAACTAAGTGTTTGCCCCACTAGAGGTCTTAAATCAATTCAGTGTCATAAACATCTTGTTTTTTTCCTTAACAAAATGGTGAACAGAAGAAAGACTGTCAGTATAACATACATAGTCAAGATTAACCATTGTTTTGTTGGAAACCTAATAACTGCTAAGCTGGCCTCCAATAACAACCACCCCCAAATAAATAAATACATACATAAATATTGCTCTGCAAAGGTAATATCAAGATGGCAGAGAAGAAGACATCAGGAAATGGTCTTCTCGCCTAGACAACTGCACTGGCACAATCTGCCTGATGTGACTGTTTTGAAACTCTGGAGCCTATTGAAGTCTTCTGATTTCCAGCCGTTATATACAGGTGTCTAAACCCATATGTAAATGTGTATGTGGGTCATAGTCAAAATAAGTCTGAAAAACGCTCATCTACAGTATCTTCCATCTGTAGATGTAGCTTGGCTCGGCAAATTTCTAACACTCAGACATTTAGATATCATAAAGCCAGTCCTGCTCTCCCAGCCTTGACTTTGCACCTTAGTCTGGGAATAGATTCTGCCTGTGCCTGACGGGAATGGATGGGAATGCATGTTTACTTATTTCCACTTGAAAAAGGACACAGAAGCTGCCTGCTTCAGCTTCCTACTCTTGTTGCGCTGGGGCTCAACTGCTGGGAAGTGGACTAGCAACATAAAAACAAAGGCCCTTCTTTGCCATTGTGTCTACGTAGAATGGTTGGGATTTGGTTTCCAGAGGCCCAAAGGACTAGCTCATGAAAAATGTTTCAAATCTATTTCTGCTTGATGTGTTTAACTTCCTGGGCCCACTGAGCCATCATGTTTTCTCAATTTAATCACTTGGTGGTCTCCAGGATTCAGAGCATGCTACAGCAGTCTCTGCAGCTTACCAACCTCGCGAGATTTCAGAATACCAAGAGAGTGACAGGAGTAGAGTGGTACTTAGTAAGTGAAGCTCAGAAATCTTTTGTGCCCTCATAGTAAAAATTCAACCCTTTAGTTCCTGCTGCCCAGCGCGGTACCCCAGCTACATCCCAGTTCTAGTCCCCAGTTCATAGCAGCCCCACCCAGTAGCACCCAGTCCTGCCCCACCCATATGGCTGCTAAGAGTCAGAAACAAACTGCACACTTGTTTTAGAATTATGTATGTTTCTGCAACAATGCTTTTTCTGTGGTTATGTGGCAAGATTGTTCAATGAAATTGTTTTTCTCTCTGACGATTTTGTTCTTGCTTAGTTTGCAGATATAAAAAGAAAAGTGTTTTTGGCTATTGATGCTGTAAAAACCACGGGCCATCTTTCATTCCATTTTTCTGTAGCCTCATCTCTCCCTGCAGGGTTAATCTTGGGTTCCCTGGCTCATGAGTTTATTGCAGTCTCCTACAAAAATAAGTTCCACTTCTCCCTTGCAGGCTGGCACTGAAGTGCCAGGAAAGAGGCAGCCCTGGTGATCTTAGCCATGTGACACTTGGGTGGGGCCTTCATCTGTCTCATGTTTGCAAGGGTGGGAGAATGGGCCCTGCTGCCACCTCAAGCTGCTCTTCCTCCTGGCCTAGCATTTTATTTGATATGGTGTATTCCATTTGTAAGGCCTTAGGGCTCAGAGAGAAAGCTCTGTTCTTCATCTTCTGAAAGCCCAAGATATAGCCTTTTCCCTTCCTTCTGAGCTTTGTCATCTCAAATCAGTGCCCTGGCCAGAAACATGAGCAGCACAGCACCTAGGTTGATTCGCTCATAGAGCTGTACCTTCTGTCCTAGCAGTGGGATCTTGTCTCCCCCAACCAGGTGTTTGCCATCATTGAGACACCCTGTTTTTGCTGTCCCTATGCCACATCTCTTGTACATTCCCTTGAGGCTGTTTGTAAATTAAAGCTAGCACCTCTTAGTTCTGCCTTACTGCGGGAGGCGAGACACAGATACTCCGTGCATCCTCCCCCAGATGTTCATCATTTTCGTTTCCTATGTCCGTAGCCCAGTTCTACTTTCTGTGGAATTATGTGTGTAATTATGTAGCCTCATAATTACAGCTACAGTGAAGATTTCTTTGAAAATATTTGTAAGTCTCGATATCAAAATGTAGCATTTTTCATGGTCTGTCACAGATGACCACTGTTAGTGGTAAATATACTTGCAAAATTAACAGGTTGACTCAAAGAAAAGGCAGTCTCATTTGGTTAGTGAGCACTTTGCACAGAACACTATGGTTGGGTACAAAAAGAATATGAAGGATAGGAGTCTGTCTTCAGAGGCAGGTTGGTTGTGGGGGTCAAAGAGGATTTTGAGGTTCTGAGCACGGAAATTGCTAAGAGTGATAACGATGATACAGAATAGTAACAGGAAATAGGGAGCCTCTGCCTGTGGCAGGCATCGTTCTGAATAACCTCTCCTAGTCCACACAGCAACCTTAAGCAGTGGATATATTAAAATATCTGTTTTGACAAGTAGGGAAACTGAGACTTTATGAGTAATTTGGCCAAGGTCACACAGCTGATAAGTGACAGAGTTGGGATGTGAAGCTGGGTCTTTTCGGCTCCAGCACCTAATACTTCATCAGTATTCTGAGGTGTGTTTGCTTTTTTTTTTCTCTCATCCTGAATGAAAAGCTGATGCTACTATTGTCCAAAATACAGCCAGAGTTCAGAGGGGAGGCTTATTTGAAGAGGAAAGTGACACCGAATTAACCCTTTTGAATTTGTTGTAAAAGTCAGACAGTAAGGAGAGAAAATGTCCAGGAGTCAGTGGGAATGACGCTTAGGAGGCAGAATGGCTAGAATATCAGCAGGTGAGAGAGCCATTTCTATAAGTGATGGCTCAAGCTGCGAGACTGTGGGGTGGTAAGTTAGAGGAGTGCAGGATGAGGAGTTCCTGCTCATCTTATTTGGAAGGCTCCCTTCTCCATGTGCTCTTCATAATTCCCAGATGCGGTGGCTGAGAGCCCCTATCCATTGGTGCTGCTGTGATAGTGTTAGTTTCTTCTACCTGGAGAAAACTAAACCCCTCCTCCACTTCTCCCATTGACTCCTGTCTTCGTCTCAGATAGAAGGGATGGAAGTTAGATGTAATGCCTGCTGGTTTGTTGGAGGTGTCAGAGGACTGTCCTCATTGGACAGCAGGCCTAGTGGGCACCTTTTCATAACAGATTCTCCTTTTCTCCTGACACAGGTATTGAATGCCCCAGAGGAGCCCGAAACCTCCCAGGCCTGGTGCAGGAAGGAGAACCCTTCAGCGAGGAAGCTACTTTTTTCACCAAGGAACTGGTGCTGCAGCGAGAGGTAGGACATCTTCCTGTTGCTTATTCTATGAGGAGGGGTGAGAAAATAAGGCTCCCTTGGTCTGCCATGTCAGAGATCAGCCTGTTGCTTTTTCTACTGCTCAGACTTGCACATCCATAATCCATTCTTGTGTCTGCCAACATCTTATTTCCCTGAGCCCTGCATCATTGGCCAGCCACCCGCAAATTGCTCCTCTCCACTGGTGGCCTGGGATGTGTGGTGAACACCAGGCCAGCCAGGCTCCTGATGCAGAGAGCTTACAGCTTTGCATTCCTCCTCCTTGGTGAATTAGCCTGAGCTGCCTGCCTCCAGCTGGATTTAGAAGCTTGACTAACCCTGTCAGGGGCCAGTTTTCTTTGAACATTTATTTGTATCTTTGAGTAATTGCATTTTCTGTAGCGGGTTTTCTGACTTAATTTAATTGTATTTCTGTTTCTGCCTGTTGGGCTGGCTCTTGCAGGCAGGAGTTAGGATCTCAGCTGCTGTGGTGCCCTTCTACCTGCTAATTTTGCTCAAGCCTTCGTCAACAGATCCATCTTCTTTCCAGGAGTATGCCAGCCATTTGTCCTGCTAGGTGGGCACAAGAAAGGAACAGTGGGAGCTTTGTTTCACTCAGCCTTAGGATTTTTGGATCTGCCTTTGTTCCCATTCCTTTTACAATCATATCTATAGGGTCCCTCCAGCTTTCATAATACTCACAGAGGTACAAGATTAGAGGGTCCCAGAGGCTGTCTCTCTAATGAATCTTCATAGATCTTTGACAGCAGATGCCTGTATTTCCTTGGGATGCTCAGTGATAAAAATACCTATTGATAAGCTTCAGCCTCTCAAGCTGATCTGAATTGCTAAGAAATATATCAGGCGTGAGAGAACAGGAGAACACTTGACAGTCTGAGATGCTTATGTTGGACTATCCTGTCCTTGAGAGAAGTATTACTGCTATTGGTTGCCACCTCTTTTGTATTTCTTTAGTGCTTGCCTTCTCATTTTGTAAAAGAAAGTGGGGTGGCCAGACAAATCCTGAATTCTCAGTTCCATTTCCCAAACTTCAGCTACAACAATCTGGGCATCACATCTGCTTTGCTGGCTATCCGCACAATGGTTGGAGGACTGGGGGGCTTAACAGTATCATCAGATTCACATTGCCCTCTATTTTATTTTTTACAAAGATATTTTTGTTAAGATGCTTACGAAGATGTTTGTGAAGTAAAAATCCTTATATTGACATGGAAGGTGCTTCCCCACCTCCCATTCTGTAGTTACACAATGCCGCCTGAATTGTTATCAATGAAAAATAACCCGCGCAAGAGAAGTATTTAGAGAATCCGAACACTCCAGTTGTCTATAAGTGCCTGTTGTAATTTTTGAAGTGGCCCAGGGATTAAGTGGATGGGGCAGATATTGTAGAATTTCCTTCTAATTTTGCGGGCCTTTGGATAATGAACTGCAAAGTAACTGTTGATAAAAGCAGGTGAGTCTATCCAAATTCATAACTTGAAGACATTGACAAGGATGCAGCAAAAGATTTTTGTTTGTTGTGCTTTGGATGGAGGAAGGAAATCCCTTCATTGGATCGCCCAAGACATTTGTTGGTGGCATTCTCATTTACTAAGTCGCATTTCTCACCATTGTTGTCTTCCAGTTGTGTCACATCTCCTAAAGTTTCTTTCCCTTTTTTTTTTTCAACTGTTGTATTCCCAGCCACCTTTCTTCTTGATCATATTTCTGGTCTATCATGAGATCCAAAAGTACCGGGGTCAAAGAGAATACTGACCACTAAAAGGAGTGCGTGGCCCCAAGCTCTTTTACTCTCCCATAGTTATTGTGAGCTTGCCTTTGTCTTATATTTGCTAATACTTGACTGTTGAAAAGGATAAAAATTTTCCCCAGTTTCTTTGGGGAAACTCTTCGGTGCTTTTGGCGTGTAATTGGGTTTGCAGATCCTTTCTCTAACCCAGAGTTGATCTTTCTTGATTATAATGGCCCAATCTTTCATATCCCCACGTTGAGGGTCTCAGTAAGAACCTTTCTTCGTTTTCTTAGATGCTTATATGATCACTTGGGCTGGCTGTTTTGAAAGTTCTCTTTTTTACTGAGAAAATGTGAGTAAGAACTAAACTGAAAAATTTAAAATTCTGACAAAGTTCCAGTCATTGCCTACTGTCCTGAACATTTCCCTTTTATTATGTATGAAACTGTTTTCTGAACAGCATAGGAATGGAGAGACTGGCGTTTCGTTCTAGGCTTATTCATTTACTCTTACCTAGGGAGTGCCTCCATTTTTATTTCGTAAGTTGTCTCGAGGAGTGCTTCTCTTTGTTCTACCCTCCTCACCCCACAAAGATCTAGCAGAGCAGGAAAGTTCCAGTCCATTGGTACTCCTGGATGCGGAGGTCCTTCCTGCCCTCAGCAGAAGTCCTGAGCAAGGCATGGATGCCTGAGTGTGGACCCACAACCTCCCACCTCATGCAACTCTTACCTTCCAGGCAGCCTCTGTCGTGCCCACAGTGCATAACAGTGCAAAAACTCTCCTGGGGTGGAGCCACTGATGGGATGCCACAGTTGAACTGGTTTTTTGCACCTTCTGCCTGTTGCCTTGATCATGAGTTTTAGCTCGGGTAACCAGGTATTTTTTTTTTTTTTTTTTTTTTAGGTAGAGTCTCGCTCTGTTGCAGGCGGGAGTACAGTGGTGCGCTCTCAGCTCATGTAATGTCCGCCCCCCAGGTTCAAGCAATTCTCCTGCCTCAGCCTCCTGAGTAGCTAGGACTACAGGCACGCACCACCATGCCCAGCTAATTTTTGTATTTTTAGTAGAGACAGGGTTTCACCATGTTGGCCAGGATGGTCTCGATCTCCTTACCTAGTGATCCGCCCACCTTGGCCTTCCAAAAGTTCTGGGATTACAGGCGTGAGCCACCACGCCTGGCCATAACCAGGTATTTTGAAGACGTGATTGTCCTTGGCCCTGCCCTATCCCTTCCCTTTAAAGTTTTAAATTTTTGTTCGTATCATTTCTTTGGTCAGAATTTCTCTATCTCCTGCATGCTTTCCCTGGTTACCTTAAATCTGCATTATCCTAGGAAAGAGGAAGCCCACAGATTTTAGGATTTCAAAGTACTTCTTGGGCCCCTTCATGTGATCCCGCAGAGGCTAGGTCATCAAGTTGGATGTCCCTATGTGAAACCATAAACTGACCGGAGGAAGATACAGAGAGGAGAGGGGCTGTGTAACGGTGACTGCCCTTAGGCCAGCTTTCTACCAGGGAGAGGACAGGATGCTGGCATGCAGGGTGCCTGGCACTGATAAAATGATGCCATATTTATAAGTGCATCGCCCTGGCTTTGGGTGGGCCATGCAGGAATTCCTGCCTGAATTATAGTCTTTCCGTCTCATATCTTCATGTGGAGCTCTCAAGCTTTAGACAAGTCTTTTATCTCCATTTCCAGGCGACTCCCATTATCTGAGGCCTCGCATTGCTGCTTTCCTTAAATTTGTTTTACAGTGACACTAGTCAGCACAAAGCTACTGACATTTCTGGCCACCCCTCAGCTCCTTTTTGTGACTTCTCTCCTGCCCCCTTACATTGCATTTCTCCTTTTTTGGAGTGCAATGGCGCGATCTCGGCTCACCGCAACCTCCGCCTCCTGGGTTCAGGCAATTCTCCTGCCTCAGCCTCCTGAGTAGCTGGGATTACAGGCACGCGCCACCATGCCCAGCTAATTTTTTGTATTTTTAGTAGAGACGGGGTTTCATGTTGCTCCTCCTTAGCCATTGGTTTCTGTTGGCTTTTACTCTTTTACCTGAGTTGGAAATCTGGGAAGACGATTCCAGCTCAGTGGTCTGGCCATTCTGGTGGTGCTGCCAGGCCCAGGACAAGAAGAACAGTAAGTGAGACACTGTGCTATTACCTGGTTTTCTGACCTTGATGCCCAAAGCAGCCAAGGAGCTCTCAAATGGCGATCACATTTTACTCTCTCTCTCTCTCTCTCACACACACACACACACACACACACACACACACACACACACACAGAGTAAACTCAGCATTTCTTTCTAGCCTAGCTCCGCTGGTATTTAGCACGAGTGGGCAAATCTGTGCCACTGCCAGTTTTTACAATAAAATTTTATTGAAACACGACCATGCTAATTCTTTCATGTATTATCTATAGCTGCTTTCACACTGTAACAGCCGAGTTGTGTAGTTATGACAGAGTATATGGCTTGCAAAGCCTAAAATATTTACTATCAGTCCCTTTACCGAAAAAGTTGCTGACCACTGCTGTATATAGTATGCTGAATTGGGTTTAAATGGCTTGTAATAGCCCTGAAAATGTAAGTTGGCTGTCCTGTCCCCTGCCATTGAGGCTGGACTGCATGACATTTTATCTGTTGGCTTTAGCTGTGACTATGAGCTGAGTGCCATGTCCCATTGGATAGCATGTGCTTGGTGACCCATGCCCCACATACATCTGACTCTTTAAGGCAGTTCCCTGGCACAGTCAAGGACAAGATCTGGTGTGATTTCCCAGATGGAGAGCTGTGCCCATTACTAGCATCCCCCAGATGAGAGAGACCATTAGCTAATGGGTAGATAACTGGCTTGAAAGTGTAAACTCCTAGGTTTTCGCACTCTAGTTTTTATGTGGTCCTGGATATGTGATTCTTTTCTGCCTTGGTGTTCCTGTCTAAAACACTGACGTAGCAATCCCAAGCCATCCTTTCCTTTTTGCGGCCCTTGTTCTGAATAAAACAGTGATTTCAGATATCTTCTCACTTTCTTTCAGAAGGCAGCTAGCCAGCACATACTCACTGACCAGTTGCTGCCTGCACAGCAGAGTTTTCACTGCTGTGTTGGAGAAACCCGAACTCTTAGAGAAAGGGCCCTAAGGTATTATTTAAAGAGAGCCATGTCACAGTTTAACTCTCTTCACAGTTCCAGGCTGTAGGAGGTACAGTTTCTGAGGACAGGGGCAATGTATGTGGGTTTGGTGATCATTTCTAAGGCCTTTTTCGATGACCCCTTTGTCTTCTCTGAGACATAAGAATTGCTCTTTGCTGCTACCTGAAAAATGATGTCCTCATGCTGGACAGCCCCAGTTGAAAACTCAGCCTGCTGCCTTGACCTATTTCCCTTCTCCCTGCTGGCATTAAAAGGGAGGATGTCCCCCTGGGGAGCTCATTCTGCAGGCCGCAGTGGCCAGGGCACAGTCCTGGGTTTCCTCTTTCTCCCTTACTCCCTGCTTTAAAAAAAAAAAAAAAAAAAAAAAAAAGATACAGAAAAACATTACAGGTAACTGTTGCTGTTGGAAAAAAATATATTTATGTTTCAGGGGAATGTGGCCTCAGCCATGAATATTGGTGTATATTTATGAAGGGGTGTGTGTCTGAGAAAGAAAACTTAGAATAAAAGAAAAAGTGATTTCATTTCCTTCATCATAGCTCCAAGTGTGCTGTATCCTGTCTGAAATAGATAAACTGCTCTAAGCAGTTTCAAGTTTATCTCAATCTCTGTCCTTCCTGTGCCCTCGGTCTTTTCCCTACGTCACCCCACAAACGCTGTGGTATGTTCTCTCTTAGTCCTTCCCATTCCATCTGCCTGCGCAGGCTCCTTCCCTGTCGAGGAGAGGAGACTCACAAGAGAGGAAACACTAGCAAAATATATCTCTGAATCAAAGGGATGAGGACAGTTCAAGCCACAGGGAATTCCAAGAAAGTAAAGGACACCCGGTGAGGGTGAATCCAGTGCAACCTACGCTCCTGACTCTCCCTGATTGTCATGTCCCTTGGGAACCCTTGGTGAGCCACTAATAACTACCTGCTAGAAAAACCAAGCAGGCTCTCTGGCGATATTTCATTTATTTTCACAAAGCCCCTTATTCTAGATTATCTCAGCCACTGCCCAGGAAAAAGGTAACATGTTATGGTCAGCTTTCTAAATAGCTCTCTCATTCTACAAGCTTTTAAAGGCTGTTTGGAGGCTAAGGCCTTTCTCACCTCCTGACACATGCTTGACAGTTCATCACCCACCTGTGGTCTTTAATTTCAAGCAGTTTGTTCTTAAAGGCCATCTTCTTTGAACAGGGCTCAGGTAAGAAAAATTCCTGTCTTAATAGTGATCAAACTTTAATTTTATATAGCACTTTCTGGGTTTAAAGGTGTTTTCATGCATGATATTTGATTTTAATATAATAGCAAACCAATAAGCAAAATATTAACCCTGTTTTACCATTCTCAAAACCAAAATGCACAGCAACAGAGCTAGTGGTAAGACATATACTAAAATTCAAATATCTGCATTCCAAATCAAATGCTTTTTCTCCTTAAATCTTACCAGTTTTGCTTTTAGAAGGCAATAGTTTTAGTCATATTTAACCATTTTTCAACTATAGAATATCTGGAACTTGTTAAAGGAATAGCAGAGGACTTCCCTGAAGGTCCCACACTGACTAAGAGTCAGTCTTCTATAAGGCATGGATTCTGATCCTGCAAGACTACAGAGGAATTTGGAGGATTTGCTGTGACCACGCCTTCCTTAAATATTTACTCTGCTCCTGCCACAGCTTCTGTGTCTATGGATTGTCTGCTGCCTGCTTCATCTGCTGTCTGATTTTTGTGGGCCTTGCTTTTCCCATTTTCTCTCTGTGTCTATATTCCTATATCTAATCTCTCTTAAAAGATGAATCTGACTGTATAGTTTCCTTTCTTAAAAAATATAACTCCCCATTGCCTCTGGGATAAAGTCTCATCTCAGTTTACATATGTTCTTGATTCCCTCTCCAACTTTGTGTCTCACCACTCCCACTCACTTCATACTTCGTGCCTTATCAGAATGGACCTGTTATGCTGTCAGTTCGTCATATATACCATTACATTGTGTCTCTCCCATCTCTAGGTAGACTTATGCTCTCCGCCCAGCACATCAGTCGTCCCTCTTGCTTGCTTTCCTGTTCACTCCTATTCTAGAAGGTGCATCACCTTTTCTTGGAAGCCTTCCCTTAGTCTCCCAGGCTGAGATATCCTTGCTATCCCAGGGTGAGATATCCTTCCATCCGTTCCCACAGCACCCTGTGCATACATCTGTTGTGCACTTACCAATAGTGTAGAAGGGATCTATGACCCAAGTCTCTCACCATTAGCTTGCAAGCTCCTCACAGACAGGAGCCATGTTTTGTCTTTGTACTCCAGTGCCTAGTATATACGAGATACTCAATAACTAAATATTTGTCATATCAAATTGATTCCCTGTGACCTAATTCTAGAGAATGGGAAGAAGGCCTGTTCTTTTGTCCTTTATGGTTCTTTAGGAAAGCTCTCCAAGCTCGGCATTTGTCAGGGTGGGAAGAAAACTTTTTTGAAGTATTGAAGCTGGACACATGGCTGCTAATTCATCAGCTTCTCATTGAGAAAGTCTATAGGCAAAATCTGACTGTGCACTTACTACAAGACCATGACCTGCCTGGGTCTCCCCGTCTTTCCAGCCAGTATATTTAAAGGTAATGAGATAATGTTGAATGTTTTGAAAAATGTTTAGTGTTCAAATAGAAACCATGCCTCTTCACTCTCCGTACACAGTCTAAGTAATCTCTCCCTCCCTGGTATGTGTCTGTTTTGTGGATTAGACTGTTAAATGAGTGAAGAGTTAATTTTGAAGTTCAGGTCAACTAATTCCTGTTTGGAGATGGGCTGTAAGGCCTTCATGAATACCAGGTTGTTATCTATTACAGCCCCTTCACTTCTGGGTTCTGGCCCTTTGCCAAGTACTCTTCCAAAAGCCCTAGAGGGAGGGCCCTCAAATTAAAGTGGCATCACAAGGAGAAGAGTTGAGGTAGAAATATACAATGGGGATGCTGCCCCATTGCCTTTCTTCCCTTGACTGCTGGACTTCCCCTAGCAGCTTTTAACATCTGAAAGTAGCTGAGTCTCCAGTCACTGGTGGCCTTTCCCAAGTGAGTTCATCAGCATGATAGGTGCCAATACTGCGCTGGCTCCAGTGGGATTCCTCTCTGCAAAGCTGCTGGCTCAGCTCGGCTGTTTCCCTATTCTTCTCCTTAGAACTTTCATAGCCAGTGAAGCATAGAATTGCATCCATTCTGAAATAGGTACTGCACCTAATTTTTCATTGGCTTGGCCAAGATCCTACAACCTATAATTATGTCATACAGTCTGACTGGTGTAGGTCTGATAGGCCTCACTGCCCTCCAGAGGCTAGTGTTGCTATCCCAGGATGGCCGTTGGGATTAGGAGTGGGATAAGAGCTAGTTTAGGACCACAAGAGATTTCGCCTCTGTGGGACAAGTAGGAAGGCCTCAAGGATGTAATTCTAGCCCAGGGAAGAAAATTCTTTTCAGCTGAAGCTTCCCTTCCCTTCCCTTCCCCTAGGGAATGAGTCCCTACTATAGTAAACTCTTCTTAAGAGAGTTTTAGGTTTTCTCTCTCAGATCAATTTGTTTTTCTTACTGTTGTTCTTATTTAAAAAAATATAAAAAATAAAAAATAAAAAGCCAGGTTGGGGGAGAAAGACATATAGTCCTTAGACCTCACAGTTTCACTTTTCCCCCCAAGTAGAAGCAATAGAAACCTTAGCAGTTCCAAGACTCCTGGCACTCACTTTTCCTCTTCATCCTTAGGTCTGACCCAGCTCAGCCCAGAGTAAAGATGTAAAAGCCTCCTACAGTATTTCCTCTTGCATTTTTTCTGTTTAAAAGGTCCACAGTACTTACTTCATGCCTCATCTCCATTGAGGCTGGGTCATGAGGATAGTGGGCAGTGACTGCCATTGGAGAATGCATGTACTGGATCACATAAGGTCATGAAACAGTGCCTGGCTAAGCAGAACCCTTGCCACTCACGGTATTCGATAAAGTCTACCCATCTGACATGAAGTGATATTCTTAATGAGCCATTCCTAGGGAAGACAGCTATTGGCCGGCACATTGAATCTCCTGATCTCCCCCTTTTATAGCTATGTAGGGCCTGTGACGTAGAATAAATGGAAAAATGTTATCAGGAGGAAGAGACTGCTGGGCTCCCCCAAGAAGTAGGGTTTGTGCTAGGAGAGCTGGGTGCCATTTATTTCATTTAGATATATCAGATGCTCCTAGTAACAATTCCTGGTTTCTCTTACCTCTTCAATCATCCTGAATAGTCACTGCTTCTTGAGCTTTGGTGAGTGTTCTCTAAAAAAAAAAAAAAAACAAAAGATGGAAGCTAATATTTTTAATAACAAAGGTCTGAAGAAAAGCAGCTCAGAATTTTTACTTTTCAGGTGAAATACCTTATTGTGAAGTCTATTAATTTCCATCTGAAAGCCTAATTTGGCAGTATCTACAGACAAGCAGATAATTTCTTGACAAACTAAAGATGACCTCACACAGACCTGCCCACTACTTGTTTTCAGAACTTCTGAACCCAGAGATTGGTCAGGAGCGCCCATGCAGAATTAGTTTGAGTGTTAGCTTGCTTTGCTTTTTTGAGACAGGGTCTCACTCTGTCGCCCAGGCTGGAATGCAGTGGTACAGTCATCTCCTGGGCTCAGGTGATCCTCCCACCTCAACCTCTCAAGTAGGTAGGACTACAGGCCCGTGTCCCCATGACCAACTAATGTTATATATTTTCTGTAGAGATAGGGTTTAGCCATGTTTCCCATTCCCATTTCCTGGGCTCAAGAAATCTGCCTGCCTCGGCCTCCCAAAGGGCTGGGATTCCAGGCATGAGCCATTGCACCTGGCAAGTGTGAGCTTTAATGTGGCATGTTTGGAGTGTCTTCAGGCTTTCTGCCTCCCTGTTCTGTTTGTCCTAAACATTGCAAGCTATGCCGATTGTCTGAATATCCCCTATGGAATTACATCATTCGACTCATATCTTTTTAGAACACAGCTCTTAATATACAATAGCAAGGCTACCTGAGCCACCAGCAAAGCACAAGCAGACTGTAGTTTGCATTTGCTTTCCAGGTAATACTAACATTCTGGTGTTTCACATGTGACTCCCCCAAGGACACAGGGGCGACTGTTCTGGTGGATGAGCTGACTTTCACCCTGACCTGTTCTTGCCATTAGCATGCCCACTCCTTGAAAGAACCTCCGTGTTCCAAACCTAGCTGTATTGATGAACTTACCGCTTGCTACTCCACCCGTGACAGCTTCTGGTCAGCTGCACTTAAATGGATTTTGAAAATGAAAGTGACCAATGGTCTGTTATGAAATGCTGTGGTGCATGAAATAAGATTATGAGCAAGCTTGATAATTAAGAACAGAGATACCCTAACCTGCTCCAAACAACATGTTTCACATGGTGAGAAAGGACTAGCTCATTCTTAGACTCTTCTTAAGGACTTTTAAGGGCATCTTTTCCTTCTTAATGAAAACTGTGTTAGCATGTGAAAGGTCAGATCTTGGTTCTCATTCCAGCTTTACCATTTCCTGTGTGACCATGGGACACATGCCTCTCTAAACTGAGAGGATATCCCTAGCATTGTGCAGTGCAGCCATCCTGCTAAACCTAATTGCCTCACCTCTGGAAGGAGGTATATTTCTCACTAGGGTTATTGTGAAAATTAAGTATATGTGTAAACTGTTCCTTGCAAACCATAATATTAAACACTCAGTGAACAGCAGCTTGCAGCATCATTTTTATTATTAGTAGAAATTCTCTCAGAGCTTAACTGAAATTTAGGATTTGAACTTCAGAATGGACAAAACCGGAGTAGAGTTCTAGGCTGGATCTAGGTGCTGTGAACAGCATTCAGATTAGAATCAACAAAGAACAATCCTCCCAGTGCTCTTCACTCCCCTTCACTGTCCCTGTTCAGGCTGTCCACCCACGGCAGACATTGCCAGTCAATCACACCGCTGCTTTGGCTTAGGGCTCAGGTCCTTCTCAGAACAGGGATCCTCACTACTACTACCAGTCGAGTGAATTTGGCACTTGATGGAAACCTGTTTGCCATCCTTGGTCTAAGTTTGCAAAAGACTATTTCTTTAAGTACTCTCAGGGCATCAGCCAGTCTTTTTTCTGTAAAGTAAAAAAACATAATATCTCTTTGCCTCTGATTCCTCAGGGTCTCACACATTAGACAATATTACGTTCAATGGAAAACCACAGGTTTGGAGGTAATGCCAGCAAGTCTTAACCTACGCAAGATGCCTTTTCTAGACTTGGCTATGGACTGATAAGGCCGTCACCAAGGGAGAGGAGACACCAGGACTCCACGGATACCTTATGGATGTCTAAGGAATAATGGTTTGAGCATCTTAGCCATGTACTCTACTTGCCATGCCGTATTTGGAGACTTATCTGCCAACAGTGACGGCTCTCTGCTTTGTCTCTGTCGATACAGGTCTTCTTTCACATTGACACTGCAATTTGAAAATGAGGGATACAGGGATACCTATCTAGATCCTGGCTGGTGCAGGCTTCTTTATCCTCTGACAGAACAGCAGTGCTCCTTTGTGTCTCCATACTTTGCTACCGTGAACACAACAATCCAGGATTGCCATAGATTTGTCCTTGACCTGCATTAAGTTGAAGAGTTGGAAGACAGGTAACACAGGCTGGGCACAGTTGCCCGCGCCTTTAATTTCAGCACTTTGGAGGCTGAGGCAGGGGGATCACTTGAGCCCAGGATTTCAAGACCAGCCTAGCCAACATGGCAAAACCCTGTCTCTACTGGAAAAAAAAAAAAAGTTAGCCAGATGTGGTGGCACATGCCTATATCCCAGCTACCCAGGAGGCTGAGGCATGAGAGTCGCTTGAACCCAGGTGGCGGAGGTTGCAATGAGCTGAGATTGTGCCATTGCACTTCAGCCTGGGCAACAGATCCAAGACTCTCTCAAAAAAAAAAAAAAAAAAAAAAAGAGAGAGAGAGAGAGAGAAAGAAAGATCTAGGTGTTAAACAAGGCTGGAAAGGATAGGAAAAGAACTCCAAGAAGAAATGTTTGGAAGGGTCACTGTAGCAAGAACAGGTACCTCTTGAACGGGGAATTAAAGAAGGAACTGGAAACTATGTCATTATGCTGTTTTCCTTTCCAGATTAGGATAATGCCTTCCTCTTCTCTCCTTTCCCTTCTCTTGATACAGTCGAATTCTTTATCACAGTTACCAGAAAAGGGTTTGGCATTGGGTGTACAGCTAGAGGTAGATCATGCAGATAAGACCAACAGGTCCCTCCATTCCCCACCAAAGGCCTGCCTGTGCCATTTCCCTTCACCCATCTCTATAGTGCTTACGGTGCTGGGGTGCCATTACCTCTCCATTTAAATAAATCTGAAACCACTGACCCAGGATTTTCATAGCAGTGCTGCAGCCTTAGATTAGGAAATGCAACAAACAGTCCATTAGCACTGATTGGATATGGATTTTTGGCCTGGCCACCTGCCACTTGATAATTTTAGAATAGGGTCACTTTCGGAATTGGAAGATTCCTTGTAGGAGGGGACTGGTATTTGCTAAATAGTTGTATCTTACTGTCATGCCCTTTTACAGCCAAGCTCTCTACCTCTGGAGTGAGGGGCCGGTCTCGTGGCCTGCCTGGCAGAAAGGGCTAGAGCTCCTTCTTCATCAGCTTCCAGGGCTGCAGACGTGGCCATTTCCAAACACCCAGGGTGCACTTAACCACTTCCTCCTCCTAATCTCAGCATTTCCACTCTAAACACATCAGCAGCTTTGTAACTAACTTTTTTTTTCCCCCTATTTTGGCCCTTCAGGTATTTGTGGGAGAAAGATAGGTAGACTGGCGAACTGTGATATCAACTGATTTCAGAATGATATAATTACACTCTGAGTCACTGCCTCTGGAGAATAATTTAAGCGAGGGTGCCAGGAGCATTGTGAAGGGCTCTTGTTGTTTTCACATGTCAGTGACTGCCTGCCTTGGTTTTGCCAGCCGCAAAATGGGGAAACTAAGCCCTCTTTTGCCTTGAGAATGCTAAAAGGTGAATACTTAGATATGGTGGGGAGGTTTCTAAGGAGACCCAGACCCTAGATGATGCTCTAAGAGTGCTGTGTGACCTGAAGAGGAGGGGGCCTCTGGTCAGAACTTTTTTTCCGTGACCAGCAGAAAATAATTATACCCAGTTGGTGGATTAGGAGAACTGTTGGTCTAGGGCCCCTATCCGACCGTGATGTTCCCCATTGGAACAAACTTTGGCCAATATTTCCTTTTTTCTATGCCATGAAATCTTTTGTGTTGCCTTTTTCTGGACATGAGTAGGGATTCTGGCTTCTGATAAGCAGCATATCCTAAAGAGAATCTGTCCCAGAGGACTTAAGGGTTCCCTCAGTCTTTGCCGCTCTGGTTGCACTATTTCTGAGCTGAAGAGGAAAATGAGACATCAGATGTTCATCTTCGTGTTATGAGTTGTTATCCCCAGCTGTCATAACCCTGTGTCTTGTTTCCTGGTTGTCTGCATAAGGCCGTATTTACATAGAGTTTGACGTCTTGCCTGAGTGTGGTCAGTATCCCTTTCACCCTCGGTTTACAGCTAGACCTCTAACATTTTGACCCAGCCATGTCTTTTCCCCAGAGTGTTTCAAAGGACAGGCCTGTGCCCTCAATGCCATGATGTTTGTTATCTTCATGTACAAAGCAAGATAGTTTTCCTTATATGCTGCCTGTCTATTTTCTTGGAATGTCAGCCAGGGAGTGAGTTTAGTAAGGTATAGCTAGAGATTGCCCTTGAAGCTTTTGATTCTTGCTTTCTTGTCCAGAATTATAGTCAGTTATTGAGATAGCCTATCCCAACACCACTAATGTATGGCAACTTCAAAAATTCATGAGGCCTTGGGATCCACAGCACCTCTCAGTAATCTAGCCTTGCATCAAGAGAAGTCATATGACTCCACCTGCCTTGTAGCCCTGCTGGATCATTGCCAGCATGTGAGGCACAGAAGGGCCACTGAGACTACCCTCCATGGCCAGCCCTTCAGCCCTTCCAGGTGTGAGAAAGGGCTCTTTTTGCCACACTTACATATGCTGCCATGCATGCCTAACACCCAGTGGCTGAAGACTACCTCCAGGGAAATACAGCAGCCTTACACTGCCCAGACATTCTTTCATCTGTCCTTCTTCTTTCATTCTTTCACCCACCCCCTTGTGTTTCTGTAATTTGTACAGTATCGTTGAAAGGTGTTGAAGAGATCAATAGCAATTCACCTTTTCCCTTATTGATTCAAGTGACGGCAAGAAAAAATGGCAGGCAATACCAATTCATTTGTCATTAGCTATCCATTTCCTAAAGCCACCAGTGACCTCTCCCAGTGCCTGTTATGTTGCTGATTTGCAGTTGGGATTACTTCTTTTTCCAGCCTGCTTTAGTAGCAATGAGAGAACCACTGTGTTTGACCCCTGTAATCAAAGCTGGGTGAAGAAGGAGACAGCAGGCACTGAACAGGAAAACTGCTATGGAGCCTGGTCTCCAGCTCTGTGGTTTTGAGGAACTCCCCACCTGTGCTGGGCTCTCAAACAGAGACAATACGGCATCAGCTGATGGAGTTGCTATCTCCCCCAGCACTTTCCAAGTCCCCACCCCCAGCCCCCGACCTTTTTCTAAAGGACACAGCCTGCCTTTATTATGTTTTTCCACAGAATGTAAATTGAGTGTCGTGAGTGAAAAGTTCATGACTCCTGTGAACTGCCTTTGCTTTTGCTGAAGGTGAAAAGGTTTGCCATTCCTTTCATGAGCCTTCAGGTGGTAACTTCATTTCACCCTGGGAGAATATGAGGTGCCCGGGGGTCCGCCCTTAGCAGGGCTGTGGGTGAAGGAAGGGCTCTTGTTCTTAGAGGGTTTTGCATCCACCAGGGATACAGAGTGGAGACAGTTCTTCTCAGCTTCTTTTTCTGCCCCAGAGAAACAAGCATAGGAAGGGGTAGAGAGGTGTGTGTGTGTGTGTGTGTGTGTGTGTGTGTGTGTGTGTGTGTTTTGATCAGCCTCACTGGGAACAGTCTCTTAACTCTCACTTGGGAAAGGTAATGGGGGAATCCTCCCTGCACTTCCAGAATAGGACATTTAGCTGCCACACACTTAGGTGCACATTTTAAAAACTGTTCATTGCAAATGGCAAATACATATTAAGTTCACTCACCTGGTGGGAGGACCAGGGTTCTTTGAATCCCAGCACTCTTAGGAGGGAAGTTGGCACTAACTACAAAGCCAAAACTTGGTTAACCCAGATGCTGCTTCTCCTTTATGTACCATATTTTAAAGGTTGTTGGTTCTTACACAGAAGCAACTATTGTCCCCCACGCCCAGTGTGGTCACCAGGCCCTCTCAACTCCCATTAGTGCTGAAGTTTGCTGCTGTGGCATAAAGTAAGCCAATTCGCAGAAACTCTTGCCTGTGTAGACTTCTGGCAGAGAGGCAGCATTTGGAGGGCCACCTGGAAGAGAACCTTGCTCAGCCACTTACCTGAGTGGGCAGTTCCCAGAGCTGGTTGTTGCCAGCCTGGAGGTCACAGTCTTTGTGTCAGCCCAAGCACCCGGCCAGCCTTCTCCAGAGTAGCACTGCCATCTCAGTCATGTTTCCTGAGCGCCGAGTGGGTTGAGGTCACTGTTTTGGATGCCCCTCTCCCAGTAGGGAGATTTCGCTAGAAACCCAGTGTCGCTGTGTCAGGTAGCTCTGCGGTTGGTGGATGCCAGGCTTGGAGAAGGCAGCCAGCTCTCTGTGAAGCTGGTTAATTACATGTGAAGCTGCCAGCAGGACGATTGTTTTTTTCCCATGGATCATTAATAAACCATTCTGGCCTGACAATTCCGTCATCTTCCTCAGCTTTGTCGGACAGATCTTCCTCCTTTTTAGTATAATGCTTTAAAAATGGCTAGGAGTGGCGAGAGGGAGGGAAGAGAATAATCTACTTCCATTTATTGCACGTTTTTCCCTAAGCTGGAAAGTGGACCCTGCTTTCAGATCATCTTGGCAGCCAGAATACCAAGGGTTCAAGGCTTGCCATGGGTGGGAAGTGGCTCAGCTCCTAATATTTGCAGCAAACTACAGACCAGGCCTGATTTGGAAATGAGGCAACGAGTGCAGCAGATGGCAAATAGTCCTGCTCCACTGGGGCTCGAGATGCGCACCATCTTCTTCCTTCAGCCAAGGCAGCCTCATCCCTGCTATGCCTGAGTGCAGAAAGCATTTCTGGCTTTTTAGAAACTCCTTTTTTAGGCAAAGATGGAAGAAGGCAAAGCAAATATAATATGGGAAACTCAGTCTAGTTATAGACGTTTTCTTGTCAAACAGACTAAAATAGAGCTTTTCCTTTGTTGGTTAGAAAAATTTAGGAATGGAAATCAACATTTCTCCAAAGAAGATTAAGTGCAAAGATAAAAACCAAATTATAAATAGAAGTGAATATGACCCATTCAGTTTCCAAGGACTTGAGCATACAACCTTCATAATACTGAATTATATAGCCTTTCATAAATATAAAGGCTCAGAGGTTATAGAGTCCAATCCAAACATTTCACAGTAAATGAGAAAACTGAGGCATAAAGTTTATCACTTGGGCACATTCACACGGTAAATTCATGGAGGAACTAAAGTCTCCACATTCCTGTTGTATTGCTCTTACCTTTATCCCCACAGTGCCTCCCAGAAAACAGCCTCATCATCCACCTGAAGTACAAGTAATAATTTGAGAATATGACAGTGGCATATAAAAGGGAGTAGGTGATGTGATGGAGGCAGACAGAAGAGGTAAGCAAGTGCATTCTCTTTAAGTGGTATTATTTTAGTGAGATAGGAATGAGAGCCTAAGTCAGAGAAGTCATCCAGGGCCTTGGCCTTCTGTAAGGAATCTCCTAGACAGGGGTACAAAGATAACCACACACAGATTGAGAAAGCATTCCAGGGGAGGAGGAGTACAGGTGTCTGACAGAC